GGTAATTGGTAAGTGATCTCCCTGTCTATTTTGACCCATGAGTTTTAAAACTTATTTCTCTCTTTGTTCTGTGGAGCGGGGTGAATGAGAGAGCAGTTGGGTGGGGATTTGGCAGCCAGCCACGGTCAACCCATCACAAAGCCTGAAATTCTTTAGTAAGATGTTTGCTTCGGCTACCTGTGTTTTTTTAAAGTTACCTAGCAGAACACAAACTAGCTTACCACTAGGAAGTCTTAACTCTTGTGGTGGTCATGTACTAAATTACTCCTCTAGGCTGTTTTTTGTGGAACAAGGTTGTCATGTGTACAGTTATATTGTAATGTGAAGTTAGAACTAAAGTAAAGTTTAGTTTAAGTTTTTTTAAACTGTAGTGCCAGTAAAAGGCTTGTCCACATGGTAGTTTATGTTCCTAAAGCTTGCTTTTTTTCCTAAAAGCAAATCAGAACATGAAAACACAAAGAAACAAAACAAAAACACCTCCCCCCTCCAAAAAAAAAAACCTAAACCAAAGCCAACATCAACAAAAAATGTTAGATTTGTTAACTTTGGTCCAAACTAATGTTAGAAGATTGTTTTTGAAGCTATCTGGTGTTACCTGAATTTCATAGGAACTTGTTAAAGTAACTCTGGAGTTGCTTTATTTACCTGTAATCTTATTTGCATTGACAAGCGAAATATATCCTCTCTTGTGTAACTAGTGTACTGGGCAACAGTAAATATATAGGGAGCTTTGTTACCACAATGGACTGTAGTTCTGAACATTTTTCTGTGATAGGCTTCTTTCAGTTCCCTTTTGAGTGAGATGGGCAAAAGCCAAACTCGTGTGTTGGCACACTCTGCTGCTTGCTTAGTCTGTCCTGGTCATCTGCACTTCCCTACTAGGATTTTGTGCTATGCTGTGTAATCCTTTCCCTCCCTTCCTGTCCCAATGCCGTTGTAAGCTGTCATAGTTTTTGTGACTCAAGGCTCTTGTGCCTACTGTTTTATCTCATCAATTTCAGTTGGTTCAGAACAGGGCCTGCCAAATGCTTCTCTTCCTGCCAGCTGTGCCTTGGACATCCTCGTGTGACTTGAAACTTGCTCTCATTTGTCAGTTTTCTATTTGTTAGACATTTCGTGTGTCCCTGTGTAATGAACAATCTGATCCATTTTTGATGAAAGCAGCATTCTTTTTTAACAGCAGAACTGTTTCTGTGATTTCATGTTCTGCATTACTTTTATTGTTTTTTAGATGTTGGATGTCTATGACATTCTTCCTTTCGATAATCCAGATGGTGGCGTGTGGAAACAAGGATTTGATATCACATACAATGAAAATGAATGGGACAGGGAACTGCTTCAAGTTTTTGTCGTGCCTCACTCACATAATGACCCAGGTAATTTTTTTGAACTGTGTTGATATGGGTATCCAGAGGCTTTTGGATTAAGAAATATATTGCCGTTTCTGATAAGATTTGGCATGGGTTTTTTTAAGCGTACTATTTAACACATTGGATGTAAGTCTAGCAAGGCAGTTAAGCATGTGTATAAATAAAGTGCCAGTGACTTCAGGTGACAACTGTTATGATAAGAGTTGTACACGTTAACTGGAGTAGAACTTCAGAATTGATATTGGAAAGTAATATGGATTTTCTCTTGTTCTTCTTGCTGCTAACCCAGCCAGTTTATCCATTGATGCATTAAATATGACTTTATTTTGACTGTCGTAGATAATTAACCATCAGCCTGTGCTAAAGAGATCTGCTTTTTGGAAGATGTGACAATGACAAATCTGAGTTTTTTGACTGTAACACTTTGTTTACTGTTTTGTGTGCACCCCGTCCCCAACCTACAGTGGGATAATATTGTCTGGATCTAAACTGAGACCTAGGTATGCTTCTTCCTCCCAAGTGCATGTTTACTGTGTGAAGCACCACTTTATTTTGCAATTGCTGTGAAACACGTGAAAAAGCAGTGATTATGCTGCTATAGTGTATTACTGGTGCATGTACACTGACCATGAGAAGCTGGTGAAGGTGATGAAGCTGCTTGTTACTGTGGAAAGTCACAATGTCAGTGATTCTAAACTTTACTGCTGTGTGCCTCTCTAATGTTTAATTTGTTGTCTGAAGTACTGTGGATCTGAGTGAAGCAAGATAAGGTACTTTTGACATAAGTCACTTTTATTTACGTGTAGCTAGCATTTTTGCGTAATGAGAACACTTGACTTTGAGCCTCTATTGTCCAGTTAGGAATATAGTAAAAGTATTCAGAGAAAATACTTGTAGTATGAGCTTTCATGTGCCTTTTTGTAGAACTCTTCTTATACCTCTGCCCATTTATTTTCCCTTTGGTTGTTCTGAAAACTTTCCTAGAAAGAAGCCACACTCTATACAGTCTTTTAATGAATCTGAAACCATCTTAAAGCAGTGTAAAGAACTTCTGATTCTCTTGGTTCTTATAAAGGTGTATGGAGTTTACCTCTCTCCTTTCTGCTGAAGCTAGTAGGATTTGGGGAGAACACTTGGCATCCTGCTAGATGCCAGTTGCCTTGTGTCACATCTGTTGTCCTGAAATGGTTTTTAGCTGGATTGAACAAAATCCCCCTGCAGGAGGACCCCACAAGCATGAGGTTTAGGAGCTGCAGGGGAATATCCTGAGGGAAGCTGAGAAGAACTTTGCAGTAGACTGCTGGTGTGCATTCAAGTCACGAGGGTGGGTAGTGATTCAGTGTTCCAACACTGTTTTTTTTTTTTTTTGGCTACAGGTTCTAGTAATTTTGCTTTTATCTTTCTTAAAAAAAGCTATTTTAGTTTAGTTTACATCTGAAACTGTCTTCCAAAACAGTATACTGGGCTGATTTCTCCTGTGTTTCCTGGCCTGTCTCATTAGTACGCCATGCAGAATTGACCAGTTGCTGTTGCCATTCTGGTACGACTCTCTGAAGCTAGGCATTAGCTCTCTGACCTCTTGTTTTCTGCTTTCTTCTTCACATCTAGCTTCCTGTCTTGCTTCCTATGATCAGTTGTGGTAAATAGTCACAGCCAACAGTGTTTGTGTTTGGCAGACTTTGGCTTTGGGTGCCTTGATATAGTTCTTGGTTGATCCTGTAGCACTGGTTCTGATCACCAAAAGTGGTTCAATGAGCACTCATATTCTCAAGAATACTGAAGTTACTGGACCTCTTTTCAAATCAGCTTTATTCTGATAGATGTTAACATTTGTTGTGTACAAATTACATTCCTCCTCACTGTATGCCAAGCAAGGAATACAGTCTTGAGGCTGCTGTTATCTCAGCTGTCCAATAGCAAAGGTTGTCAATATAAGATTATGATGGAGGAGGCTTCATCAGAGCCTCCAGATTTTTAGACATGTATCTTTTTGGCATACTTGGCTGAATATGTTGTATTGCTTCTATGAGATGGGTCCCAAAAATAGCAGAATCGTTGGGAAGACAGACGCATCTCTTCTTAGACTCCAACTTAGGATAGCAAATGACTAGTCTCACTCAGTGAGGTCTGCCTTAAGCTTCACTGTATATTTACCATGGCACTTGGAATATTAGAGCTTCTTCTGTAAAGTCAGAGGATAAAAAGGATCTTCTTCAGGTCCAGAGACCCTCTCTATGTATGACATTCTTCTCTGTCAGGTTTCAGATTTTGATCTGTGTTTAGAAAACCTAATCAGACAACAAAAAAAAACTGAACAAATATACCCACTGTCCAAGTCCCAAACAATCAGATAAAAAAACAAATAAACACCTCCCAGTCACAAAATAAACATCCACACCACCACCACCACCAAAAAAAAAATGCACCCAAACAAACAAAAAAACACATACATAAAAAACCAACCCCAAATCCCCACCTACCTAACCCCTGTGAATACGGTTTTTGAGTCACCAGAATTATTAAACTTCCAAGACAGATAAACCATAGGTATTGCTCTGCAAACTGGTGTAGTCTCACCAACACATTTTCCTGATTAACTTTTTGGGTTACTAATCATGGAATTTCCTGTACTTTCACAGTATGAATTTTCCATTTCTTTAATTTTACATCTGAATGATGTCTTTGGGTGCACCTGAGAACTTCTTCTAATGAAGTATTGTCTGATATTATTTTGCCCTCTCTAGCAGTGCTCTGGCCCTCTTCCAAACACAGGGGTGTGGGCTGTAATGAACTCAACTTCAGAGATGGATTTTCACAAGCATTTGGATTTCTGTCTTGATGAGAGTCACTGATTAAATCTACAGTAAGCTTGTTGTTCTTCTGAAAGAAGTCCTTTCTGTGGCTGCCCCTTCGATAATGAGGTTTGAGGAGTTCTGTGAAGCCGTGTTAGCTGTCCCATGTCTTTCTGCTGCACCTTTCTTCCTGCATATTCCCAAGAACTTGAAGTCGTAATGGTGTTGCCATTCACCTTTGATGGCTGACTTTCTTACTGGTATCTAGTATTGGTTCCTGAAGTCTTCCTCCCTAATACCTAAGTTCTTCATACCTTAACTATAAAATTACATCTGCCTTCCACCAACAGCAGCTAAAATCAAGAAATCTGCAATTTCCTCATGCAGACTGCAATCTAAATATCTCCTACCTTGTTCAGATTTCTTAGTTAATATTAAGTAGAGTTAAATTGAGATGAAATTCTGGTTAACTTAAATTGTTCCATCACCATAGTTGATCGCATGAGACTGGTCATTGTTTGCCTTTACAAAGAGTGTTATCATAGATATCTCCTGACTTGGTACTGCTTTTGGTAGGGAATTATCTGTAATATGAAACTACATGTTAACAAGTACTTCAAAGAAGGAAAATATATCTGTAACAGACATCTGAAACCTCTTGTATAGCTAATGGTTACATTATTCCTTGCCCACAGAATTAAAAGGCATGGTGCAAAGGAAATGCTTTCTGTCAGAATAGCTTTAAGCTATAATGAACCTGTAGTGTAACAAAATATGTGAAAAATATTTACCAAGAAAGGGAGTCGAGGAAAATGTAACCACATGAGCTGCATTTGAATTCTTGATACATTTTTGTTTTCTTATCTAATTCTACTTTTGTCTTTAACTTCTCACATAATCAGTTCTGCTAGTGGGACTCTGCAGCTGAAAAGCGAAGAAACTGCCTTGAAATAAAATCTTTAGGGGAGGCGGTGGCCTGAGATTCCAAGTTCTGTTTTGAGGGATGACGTATGTGCTGATGCTCTGAAACATTTTGTGTGCTAATTTCTGCTAAATTTAGGTTAACTTCTGTGTGAATCCAGCTAGGATGTACAAGCTCAGGCGCTCTATGCTTCTTCCTTCAGTAGCTAATATATCTACCTGTTATTGGGAAGTCAGGTATGAGAATGGGTCCCCTTCATACTTTTGATCAGTGGCAGGCATAACTGTCTTTTAGTTGCTGGCAGTTGATGAGGATTTGATCACCTCAGTAGCATGTCTGATTTGCATGGGACTCATGAAGGGCAGATTAATCTCAAGTCACAGAGAGATGTTCAGTTTACAAATAGCTGTGTTATTTGAGGTTATAGCCATCACAGATGGGTGGCATTTCTTTCTGGAGCTAATTAATGAGCAGTCATATAACCTGCTGTGCTGGCACAGTCCTTATGTTAGCTCTCATGTGCTTCAACAGCAGTTTCATGTGACTGCCTGAAGTGGTTTAGGCAGCTGAACTCTAGAGGGGAGAATGCTGCTGAGGGACAGTGATGTTGTCAGTGAGCACAACCGGCCTTGAAAGATGATGTTCAGATAGGACCCAAGGGGCCAAAAGACACCTCTAGCATTTATTGCTTTCTTGGCAGTGATGATTTCATTAATGTCTTTCCATTATTATTTAAGAATTGAGACTTTCCAAGCTTTGTAATATATGTGTATACCAGGTCAGAGTATTTTATTGCTGGATGTGGCTGTTACAGGCCTAGAAGAGGAAGCACTTAAGGGGGATTGAAGGAGACTAAACTAGATTTGCCTCCTGCTTATGCCCACTCCTCCCAGATTCTACCTAAGTAAAAGCATATCTGAAAGTGTACAAAGGTCAGACCTAATTACTACTTTTTAACAGTTCATGTACGTTTAACACTATGTGTATCTGTAATTTTACCTTACTAGTACTCATGTTAACCCCTTTTTATTGTTTAAGATAATCCCTGTTTCTCAGGAGGAAAAAGCCTTATGGAGTTAATTGCAGTGTTAAAAGAAAACTTACATGTTATAGCTTGTTGTTGTAATACACCATGGAGTTTCAGGTTTGTTTTCTATGGACCAGGTCCGGATATGGTTTTTCAATGACTACTTAGTTTTCCTGACATGTTTGGAACACAGATTACTTACACTGTTGTCAGGCCTACCAAAATATAAGAACAGGTTAGTAGAAGCTGATGAAGAAAAGGAAAAATGCTAGCTGAAGAACATCTGAAGACTTCGCCTTTAAAAGTTTCAGAGTGTGAATTGAATGTTCACTATTTAACATGTTCATGTTGTATTTTTATTGGAAGATCATAGTCACCGTTTGTCATAGAACATGTTTTTGTGAACAGCAGCAGTGCATAGAGTTTTAAAAAAAAAAACAGACAGACTATGGAGGCTATGTAAAGACTATAAAGTACACACTGAATGGTGACCACCTCACTTTTCTATTGTAGAGAAAGAAGTGATCTAGGAAGAGAATGAGAAACTCAGTAGCTCACAACTTTTTCTTGGCATGCTGAATTACAGGAATTTGAGTGTGATTCCTGGCTCATTTCTCAGTGTTTCTGTGGTTACATATGAGGTGCTAGGGGACTAAGTGCTTTTACTTAAGTTACTTTCTGAATAATGCTAATTTGTCAACTTCTGTTCTGATTTTGTAGTGAAGCTTTGCCTGTGTCTTTACAACTGTCTTAACTGTGCTGAGACACAAGAATACCTGTCTCTAGTACAAGAAGCTGATGGAGTTTTGAGAAGGAAGTTGGACTTGAAAGTGTAGGCAAGAAAAGTGACAAATTAGTTAATGAAATGCTTCAGGATTTTTTTGTATAGCAATAGAGTGCGATGATGTTTGGACAGGATTCTTGGAGTCTGCTGTTAACCCAACTAAATTTGCATTAACAAAGTGGTGGGGGAATTAAAAAAAAAAAAATGGACAACTTCATGCTGATGATAAAACTTGGGGTGGGATGCACGATGTGGAAACAGGTTTCCACGCTTCTGGCGACAAACAAATTAGGCAATCAAACGATGAGCAGCTTAACACTGTATGCCCTTAAGTACTATTATATATGCTGACAGAAAATGGAAGTTGATGGCAAAGTCCTGAATGCTTATGTCAAGAGTAGTCAGCACTAATGACATTAAAGAGACAGTATTATTTTTTTCTCTTTCTCTCATCTTTGTATTGACAAAGGTTCATATGTGAATATAAAACAACAGGTGTTACTTGGCTGTTAGCATATTTAGTTTTGGTAATTGCAGCTCTAAACTATTGCACTTTTTCCATGTGTAAACTGTATTTGTATTGAAAGTTCCCTGACCCAAATACACAGATAAAATTTTTTCTTTCAACTTGGGAACAAATTCTTAGTTTGTGGGTAAGCACCAGAATGAACTTGAGTTGGACTAGATTCTTATGTGATGCTAAGAACTAAGATGTGAAATGATGTAATGTGCTAGTCATTAGTAGTAGACTTGCAGCTAGCAACTGTAACTAGATATATTCATTGTTTTGTTCAACTTTTGATTTATTTTAATATTTATGGCTTTTTGGACAACCTCTGTGATTCATGGAGTTAAGGGCTATCAGTGGCACAAAATTTGATGAGCAAATGCTGGATTTTGTACCTAAGACAGAGTACCTCTGGGCACAAGTATAATTTGGGATAGGAGTGGCTGGAGAGCAGGCCTGCAGAAAGGGATCTGGGGGTGCTGGTTGACAGAAGGCTCAGGACGAGCCAGCAGTGTGTCCTGGGAGCCAAGAGGGCAAACTGCTTCCTGGGGTGCATCAAACACAGCACAGCCAGCTGGTCAAGAGAGGGGCTATTCCACTGTATTCAGTGTTGGTGTGGCCTCACCTTGAACACAGTTCTGGTTCTGCAGTTCTGGGCCCTGCAGTTTCAGAAGGATGTGAAGGTCCTTGAACGCATCCAGAGGAATGCAGCAAAGCTGGTGGAAGGGCTGGAAGGCATGTCCTGTGAGGAGCAGCCAAGGACTTTGGGCTTGTCTAGTTTGGAGAAAAGGAGGTTGAGGGGTGACCCCATTGCTCTCTACAGCTTCTCTAGGAGGGGAAGTGGAGAGAGCGGTGCTGATCTCTTTCAGTCATTCCAAGCTGTGCCAGGGGAGGTTTAGACTGGTCATTAGGAAGCATTTCTTTTCCAAGGGGGTGGCAATAGTCCTCGAGCTTCTTAGAGAGGTGGTTGAGGCCCCAAGCCTGTCAGTACTTAAGGGACGATGCCCTTGATGCCAAGCTTTAATTTCTGATCCAACTGCCTGACCAGAGCTGATCAGATGGTTGTTGTAGGTTTCTTCCAACCAAAGCTATTCTATTCAGAAATCAATATATTGATGTGTAAAGTGCTAAAAACATGGTAATTAAATTTCAGAGGACTTTCTGTTCACCTGCAACTAATTGAGTGAATACTTGTAAATATTTCCTAGGACTTTCTGAAGTGTGTTAAGTTCGTTGTGTTAACTATGTTATACCCTTCCTCTATAGCTTAATAAATGGAATATATTAAACCAACCTGTAATCATAAGTGCTTTTCCTACATCATAATGTATTATTATGCCAGATGTGGTGCTTCGTTATTGAGGTTGATTTATTAAGTTTTTCAAGAATGCTTAAGAAGACTAATTCAGTGTAAGTTTGCTTTTATTGCTGTGATATAAAAATATGCTAAAATGGTTTATTACGATACATTTCTGTATAGGAAAAATGTAGGGTCGCCTTAGTTAATCCTGTGGTAGTTTTGTGCAAGCATGATACTGTTTTTTGCAGAAGAAATTCTTCATGAAAAGCTGTAAATTTGTGGGCTGATATACGTGGAACATTTTATATAAATATCAATAAAGTATTTATTTGATTAAAAACAGCACAAAAGGAAAACTTACTCATCGCTTGTCTGTTTTCATTTGTCATTAAACTGTTGTGTATTAGTAATTTACTGTCAAAATTTTTTTATTAAGCTGTTTCTATGCCTATGCAGAAAGAATACTTGAAGTCTAGATTTTAAGCACTCATATTAACTGTCTTGACAAAATGTGTTTTTCCCATTTACAGTAGATTAGGTTAGACCCAAGTGTTCTATCTGCACAGAAACTTGATCAGATGTGATGATTGTTCTAGATGCTAAACATCTGTTAAAAATAAAAAGGGATTTAGCTAGCACTTTGTCTCTGGAATTTTATAATATTATTTCCTCATTTGCAAGGTAAAAAGGGGAGGTTTTTTTTTAAATTTGTTTTGGTTTTGTTTCTGAATACTTTATTGAAATTTGACCTTTACAAAGTTGAGTGTGCAACCTGAAAGTAGCGCAACCAAAGTAAGAGTGTGCCAAAGTCTAGTGGTTATTCCCAATTATAAGATTCTTTATTAGAAATATAATTAACTGGAAAAGAATGTGCATACTGTCAAACTATATTAGCTCTGCATTTCTACCTAAGATGAATGTAATTTATTTTTTATCCTTAAAATAAAGTAAAAATGTCCTTCCTGGTTTTTTTTTTTTATACTAAAATTTTCTGCATTTATATAACTGCCTTGAAACAATATTAACTCATTCCAGAACAGCTTAATCCTGTATTTTCATATAAGCAGATTGCCATTAGTGCTAGAATGGCAATGCCTTTGCAGAAGAGGTAAACTAGTGTGGGATCACTAGGATCATATTTATCTGCAGTGTCATACTCACATTGTATGGAAGCTTTCACAAAAAGTTAAAATGTAGATGCATGCTATAGGACCAATTTGTAGCATCACTTGATTCCAGTAGTTACTCTGTTGCATATGATACTTGGTTAAACTCAACTGCCAAGTCCCTTTTGGAAGCAGATGAATGAAAATGCTCATACGTGACAGGAGTAGGTATGAAGAGTAGGACTATATCTCTTGTGTATTAAGTAGACAGGCTTATCTGCTTCTTTTTTGGTTATAGTAACCGAAAGAGCATATCTCTTCCAGGTTCTGGGAAGGAGAATGCGTGTATTTTCTTGTATAAGGTTTTAGGAGGAAGTTAAGGAAGGAATTTAATGGAATTCTCTGTACTGTGTGGTTAGACTATGTGGTTAATATTGTTTTTTCCTTTACTCACTGATGATAACTTTTCTAATGCAGGATGCACCTGCGACCTATTTCTTTTCTCAGTCATTGCTAATAAACCCCTCATTCATGAATGATGCTGAATATGTGCTGCAGGGCTTACTGCTGCTTTGTTTGCCCCTTGTTGTATTTCTTTACCCTCAAGGTCTGTAGGATACTGTTAGTAGCTCTTAATTTTCTCCTCAAGTTGTAGGTGTGAGATGCTGATAGTAAGGATTTTTGTCCAGTTTTACATAAAGTAGGGTGATGGGGTACTTGTTGACTTGAAAGAAATGAGACAGTGAGGGATGGATTAAGGGGTGTTGGGGAGTATCTGTGTTGGGATTGGATGGGGAAGATGATCTGTTAGTAGATGCTGCAGTCCTCCTGATGTGAGAGATGAGAAAACCCCAGTAGAAGTTACTGAGAAAGATAAATTTGCAGCTATGTACCTCTTTCTTTTCAAGTACTTAATTTGTAATTTAATTTAGGGGGAAAAAATATCTACCTTTTTAAAACCTGTGTATACTGTTCATCAAAATAGTAAGCCTAATAGTCCATATGTTGATACAATTAGGAAATAAACTATCTAAACATTGTTTAAAGAAACCCCAGGAGAGTTTACATGCTGTGGACAGTTCCAAGTGCTAAAGTTCAGCTTTTTGAGAAAATGCTTCATTTAACTTTCTGTAG